CAAACAACTATTTTTAGAACTAAACATAAAAAGTTACTTTTAACTGTTTCAAAATTTAATAGTTTATTTATAAAAAATACAACAACGCAAACTTTATTAATAAACACAAAAAATTCAATAAAAATTTGTTTCAATTGATCTGACCGGATTCATGTTTATGGATTTTTGAGTATTACTAAAAGTGACAACTTTCTAAACCAAAAAAACTTTTACAAAAACATTTATTTTTTCTTATATAAATGTGATTTTCTGAAATATAGATCATGTTCTACTTTTGATTTGTCTAAGTTTTTTGCAAACATTGTGCAACCATTATGTAGATGGAATTGTTACCTGGGCAAAAATAATAGTTTTATTGTAAAGTTTAACTAAAATTAATTTTTTTAACGCTGAATAATTGTTTTTTATTTGTTTTAAATAAATCAGTTTCATGTTATTATCTAACAACCCTTTGAGAATAACGATTAAATATTTAAAACAAGTGTAAATTTTTAAAACTACTTTAAAATTTTTAGTTTAGTATACAACACAAATAAAAAATTAATAGAATGCGAACTAAACATAAACAATTGTTTTTATTGTAGGATTTCATTTTGGACCAAACAATTTTTTGCACCGCGTCAACTTCAATTTTACAGCTGAAACCTTCATTCCAGTTTTTTCAACTTATCAAATTCTAAAAATGTCACAAATAATAAAATGTTGATGCTTTAATTCTTTGGCTTCACGCGTCAAGTATCTGAAAACCACAAAAATGAAAATGATTTTATGTTACATTAAATTCCGGGCACATGCTTGATAAAACAAAAACGTGGATTTTCAAAACAAAAATAAAACTTTTTCAACACTTTAAATTTTTTTGTTGGTTTTCTAGTCTATTTTTATATTACTTTTTTTTAAAATATTTAATATTTTTTAATTGTTAAAAATATGGCATTTCAACAATCACACTCTTCATCGTCGTCGTCAACATTTGTGCACTTTGTGGTAGACTCAACTACATCTTTTATTCATTCTTCAAATTCTCCGAGCTCTTCTGATGATTCCCTTTCACTTATTCCAAAGTTTCCTGTGGCCTCAGGTTTGGAGCACACCGTAACCGAAACACCAGCCTCAAATTTGTCCATATATTTGAAAATCATTATTGGATCATTTCTTGTTCTTGTTATCCTCATTTCAATATTTGGTAATTTACTTGTGTGTGTGGCCATTTCATCAGATCGAAGATTAAGAAAACTGGGCAATTTATTTATAGTTTCACTAGGTATGTTACAATTTTGCATTCTGTGGAATTTAAATAAAACGTTTCATTCTGTTTCCTAGCCATTGCCGATCTTTGCGTGGGTGCTCTAGTGATGACATTTGCCCTTGCCAATGATCTTTTAGACTACTGGCCATTTGGTCCTCAACTGTGCGAGATTTGGATTGCCTTCGACATCAGCTGCTCGACGTGTTCAATCATTAACCTCTGTGCTATTGCACTTGACCGCTATGTACACATCAAAGATCCAATGCGCTACAACCGTTGGATGACCAAAAAGGTGGTAATTGGTGCTGTCTCCCTTATATGGCTAGTCTCCTGTGGTATTTCATTTGTGCCTATCAGCTTGGGCTGGCACAAACCTGATCACTACTCAGTTCCACTGGCCGTCCCCGTTAACCAGTCAGCCTATCAGCTGGAGGACGCTGTCCCAACGCCAAAAGTCAATCTCACAGTACCATTTCACCTAGCTGCTCGCCAAACACTCCACCGCTTACTTCATCGTCATCGCATCAATCGACGCTCAGTCACTGAGCACAGTCCAATCTTTTCAAATACCTTTTTCTATGCGAATCCAGAGTATAACAGCTTCAAGCACATGATGACGGACACTGCTCACAATGCTCGCCTTCAAACGCCGACAACGACCAATTTTGGTTACACTGATGATCCAATGTTTCCACAGTGTACACTCGACTTGACGCCAACATATGCAGTGGTCAGCTCTACCATCAGGTAAATTCTACTCGATTAAGTTTTCTTTCTCGTTCAAAGAGCATTAATTTGTATCTTAATGAATTTATTATTGCAGTTTTTATCTACCATGTATCGTAATGCTCTACCTGTACGCTAAGCTGTACTCCATTTGCCAAGAGCACGTGAGGTGCATCAAGTCAATGACCAAATTCCAGGCAGTGCCAATATCACACCAGTCTCTAGCACCAAATCATAATCAAAGCTACATTCCTTCAACCCCTCAAATTGGCACGCCGACTCGAGCGCACAGTGGCCCCTTGCCGCCAACAAGAATATCTGTCTCTTCAAACATTGGGTCAGCCAGTGCTGGGTCTCAAAGTCACGTCACAGAGCACAAAGCGGCCATCACTTTGGGTATTATCATGGGAACATTTTTAGGTATGACAGACGGTTTAATGTATTATTTAAAACTCAATTAAAGTTTCTCTCTATTTGCTATTCCCTTTTGCAGCAAGCTGGGTGCCATTTTTTTGCATTAATATCTGGTAATCATCAATTTTTGAACAGTTTTATAGCACTTTTAAAACACTTTACATTTCTTCTTGAAGGGCTGCTTTTTGCAAAACGTGCGTTCCCGGATTAGTATTTAAGATTCTTACATGGTTAGGGTATTTTAACAGGTAAACTATGCTTTTGAGAATTGCATTTTGATTTAAACTACCAATTTTTAAATTTTAAACAGTTGCATGAATCCTGTTATCTACAGGTATGTCCTATATACAGTTAAAGTTAGTTTTAAAACAAACCATACTTTACTTTAAAGCATCTTCAACACCGAGTTTCGTGACGCTTTTCGACGCATTTTGATTCGGTACATTTTTAACGGAGACACGACAGCCGCCTGCTCTCGTCTGGTTCCGTGCAAAACACCTCGTTCATCAACGGCAACGGTGACCGGCTCACTCACTGTCAACAATCAAATTCACAATCACAATCTGAACAACAACAACAACAATTGCACAAAGAGTCATTTCAATGTCATGACTACAATAGCAGTATCAACAGGTAGCATGAGTCAACTTCCAAAAGCGTCCATCGACGATAGATCACTGGATTCAGGAATTCTCAATGCATCGCCGCATAATGAAAATGAGAATCACGAAGCAGAAGACGTTGAGGTGGAATTAATTTTAAAGCATCACATTCACGAACCAACGCTCAATTCACCAAACAACATTCAGTTTTCTTCTGAAGTTCCCTGTGATGCAAGCCAAATAGGGCTTGAAAATAATACAAACTGCTCAGTTGACAAACCAACAGCCACGTATTGTTCTCATTCCAACAATGCACCTTTTTCAGATGGGCTACTTTTGAATCCACGTTCTGCACATAGAAAAGCTTCTCAACCAATGATCCCTAAAATCTCTAAAATTAAGCCTCGTTTGTCGCATTCATTTCAACATAAATCTCTAGATTATGAAAATAGCGCTGTCAATTCTCAGGAAAATTCACACAAATCTCATAAATCCCGAAATGGCTCAACATCTTCATTAAACAATGGAGCTCAGACAGGAGGACTTGAGGAAAATAATAACTTTAACAATAATGTGCTTATAACAAAATATTGTAAACCAAAAAATCACTCTAATATTTCTCAAGTTACCCAATTGTAATGCTTATGAATTTCAATCAAAATCAAAATTTATTAAAAAATTAACACTTAATAAAAAAGGTATTACTTTTAATAACAAATTTAATTAATCGCAAATGAAAATGACTTTAAAGTTAAATAAACATAATATTGTTACTAAATATAAAAACCATTATAGTTTTTAATTTAAAAGTATTAAAGTTTAATTTACTTTTAAATAAATTATAGATAAATGCCAATATTTTTATTAACATTTTAATTTAGTTATTAAAACTTTTGTAAAAAGTAATTATAAAAAATGATTTTTATTTAAATTTGTAGTAAAGGTGCAGGTTTTTCATTAACGAAAAATTCAAAAATAGGTTTTTTATATAAATGATTTTTGCCAATATAAACTTTTTGTTTGTGTTCTAAATGGTTGTTTGATTATAGCCAAACATTTGCTTTGGTTTGAATGTTAAACGGCACAATCACTAGAAATCAAGTTAACTTGCTTTTGAATGCTAGCAAAAGTTTTCCTAAATAAGCCAATTATTTCTGCTATTTCAAATGTTTGACTTTTATTTGTATGTCTTTTTGGTCACTGCTAAAAATATAAGAAAAATTACTTTTGCAACCATTAGAGCATAATGATTAGATAATATTTTAAATCAAACCCAAAGTTGTAAATAATTCATTGATTAGCATTTTATTTGTTTAATTTTTTAATTTGAGTTATTAAAATGAATTGTTCGTTGCAACAAATGACCTAAACACTACATTTTCATAATTAATTTACAATAAAAAATGTAGTCGTTAAAACTGTCTATCAGTGTCATGTCTATGTGTCGACCCAAATGTAATTTAATTTATCAAAACAATTTTTTTGCTTTTAANAAAAATGTAGTCGTTAAAACTGTCTATCAGTGTCATGTCTATGTGTCGACCCAAATGTAATTTAATTTATCAAAACAATTTTTTTGCTTTTAATAGTTATTTTTATTATTTGCAACGAAGCATTGGCTGTCAACATGTTTTGTTTAGCCATTAGCATAATCATTTATAAATTATTGTTCAAACAAAATATAAAATGAAAGAATAAACAAATAATAAATAGAAACTTGAGCAACCACCCAATTAACACCAATAGAACAAATATTTATCAAAAAAGTTAAAAATTTGTTTTCAGCATTTTTTGATTAATAAGATTAATTGTGCCAATAAAATGTTCACCGAAACCAAAGATTATGTGATTTAGCTTGTAGATTACCAAAATGAAGTTTTAATGTTTTTGCCAAAATACTTAAACTGCACGCAATTTTTCTTTACATCGTCATTGAAGCGTTCAAGCAAGTGATACTAAAAACAAATGTTTTGCAAAACGACTATATTCTTGATTTTTAAAGTAATAAATTTTTTTTCTGAAAAACATTAAATAAAAATGAGAAAACTGAAAAGATTTAAATCAAGTTTAAAAAAGTAGCAAAAAGGTAATAAGAGATAGCATTTTATCTACTACTACCAAAAACTATTCATAGGTAGATGAACTGGAAGACTTTGTCTGAGATTTGTGGCAATTTATACATTAGTTTTTACATATAAAAATACAGTGCTAAACTTAACTTCAAAATATTATCTCACAAAATTCGTTGCAATTTATATGTAAATATGTTTTTAAGATGAAAAATGTCTAAACAAACACATCAACTTTTAATGTTAGTTGTCAACATTCTTAAAATTGCATTAAAATGTGACCTTTACAAAACAAAAAAGTTTAACAATTAAATACTTTTTGTTTTAACAACTTTTTTAAGTAGCAACAAGCAACTTGCAGTTATAGCAAATTAAGTTTTAACTTTAAAATACAATTGAAAATAGTTTTACTTTAGAAAATTTACTTATAAAAGTAGCAAATCAAGAAAACAAAACATTTACATTTAACTTTGGCAGTACAAATTTTGATATACTCTTGGGATTTCTATTTTATCTCTTGTTTGTATGTGATGCAATTCTTTCAAAGGAAATTCACCCCGGTAAGTTTTACAAAAATATCTCCAGCCAAATTTAGTGCATCCTGTCACGTTGTCGTTCATTGTCACTTGGCATGCCTCAAGGATTCATTTGTGTACGACGCATAAAAATTGAACGATGAACTATTGTGCAACTCACACGTAACTAACTCACCGTGCGTTGCTGCAAAGCTCAATGTGCCCTGTTTGGTGAACTTACGTGAATAACAGCAATAGTAGAATTGCCCTGAAAAGTGACAGTACACACATTCAATTCAATGATCGTTGCAGCACATT